ATTTTATGCTATGAAGGCTGCATGATGTTCTGTCCCTTTTGGTTCTGAGTAGGCCTATCACTAAATCAGAAAAAGTGAAACACCCCTCTAAACTCACTGTTGCTGGTGATCAGTATTGCACCTGTTCATTGGGTAAAATTATTATTAGTTTTAAACATGCAGCTGAGGGTCATCATTATTTGGCACAATGACATGTGTTACAATTAAAAATAAATCAATAAACAGTATACAAGTAAAAAGCACCCCTAAAGTCATTGGATGTGATAAATTGTGTCACATTAATTAACCTTATCTCAGCTGTAGCAGTGAGTTTAAAACACGATGATGGAACTAGTTTAATGAATAATCTGTCTCTGAAATAATTCTTAAATCAAGTGTTTATTTATGTAAGTAAAATTGTGTTTAATAACCTGTTAAAATACACCAGAATGTAGAAAACTAATCTATTTCGTTCAAACTTTTCTGGGGGAGGACCCCCAGAACCCCCAACAGTGTGTCCCCCACTTTTAAAATGATTCTGATGCCCATGTTTATAGGGTAATCACTGCCTGTATAAGGACATAAGGAAATGATAAAAATACAAAGATCTGCAGTAACTTTCAAGTTTAAAAATGATGTCATTTTCCTGGCCACCCCAGTGTGAGTTAGTGGTCCCAGTCTGGCCACCCCTGAGAAAAATGTCTGGTTATGTTGTGAAGCACAAAACATGACAACAGAGATCCCGGACTGTTGAGCAACTGAAGTTGTTCAAGCAAGAATGGGAAATAATTCCACCTACAAAGCTTCAACAATTACTGTTCTCASTTCCTAAATACCTATACAGTTTTGTTATAACACAGTGGTAAATATGACCATGTCCAAGCTTTTTGGAATGTGTTAAATAAAATTTTGTGACTGGATTTTAGATACAGTCTTATATTTTACACTTCAATTATATTCATTTACTTTAAACAGGAAGAGAATCAGTGTGTTTCTACTTAATGCATCCCTCCTCAGCAGGATAAACCAAGACTTGTTGACATTAAACAGTGCTGACGTAAAAGGTACTGCCAGGGTGTGTCCAGGGTTTCTATTAAATATTCTGGTTATTGCTAAGAACACAAATCTTAGTGTTCCAGCGGCAGCAGGGAGAAGCCTTTGTTTTTGTGTTCTGATTAGTCTCTGGGTCACACACAGACAGTGACTGAGCATGAGCAGATTTTTTAGAGCTGAAGAATAAAACGTTTAAAGGCACAGTGTGTAGGATTTGTTGTTTTCAGAGACATCTAGTGGTTGAATGGTTGAATCATCCTCCCTGGTCCTCCCCCC